GCGGCGGCGGCTCCGCTTTGTGCCGGCGGGGCTGGGCGGGGACCGCCCGCCCGCTGGTATTTCTCCCTGGAGAGAGATACCGTGGTCGACCAGGAAGTATTTCGGCCGTGCTGGGTTGTTGGCGTGGATGAGAGGGACGAAAAACTTGCCGCAGCCGTGATTCCTTTCATCAGAGTGTCCGTGTGAGTGCCTTGGTGTTAATTTTTCTTCAAAAAGCACGAACCCGTGTCCTTTACAGTTGTGATGAAGTAAGGTCCTCCCAGCTGTTAGCAGCAGACAGCTTCATCGCGTTTCCTGTGCATCATGTTGTGCTCGGCTGTTGTGTCTTGAAGGCTCAGGAGGAAGGGCCTCGGCTGCAGCCTAGGGAGCGTGCCTTAACACAAGCGATGAACACGTGTGGTGTTAACATTCGTGGTGCTTACGCCTTTGGTTCTGTCTTTCAGAAAATGGCAGTTAATGTGTATTCTACTTCAGTGACCAGCGATAACTTGAGTCGACATGACATGCTCGCATGGATCAATGAGTCTCTGCAGCTGACCCTGACAAAGATCGAACAGCTGTGCTCAGGTAAGGGGGCTCAGCGTGAGGGGAATTCCAAATCTGATGTGCACCCTAGTTCTGCAGAGGTATGGCTGCACCCTGTGAACCGTCCGTGCTGGCCTTCTATAGCCCTGCTGTTGGCTTAATTCCTGGTATGAACAGATTCGTGGTCAGTGTTACGATCTGGTTATGGCTAGAGGTTTATTGAAATGGTTGTTAATAGTGTAAGCACAATGAAAAGGCATATTCTTCTGACTCACTGCAGCATAGATGCAATAAGAAGGAATGGGGGTTAATGTGAAAAAAAGACTCTTAGGAGAGTGTGTTTTCCAATGAGGGGATTAAGCATTTAGTCTTGATGGATAGAGTAAGTCTTACAAGCATAATAAGTAGCATAAACAAATGTGATTTCTTATGGAAGAAAGCTATGAGGAGATTTGGGAGGTTGGGCAGAAGGAGCGGTGTGAGGAAGGCGTACTGGTGACTCTTGGGTTCACCTTTGGGACTTTACAACTCCTTATGGTAAAAGAGTGTGTCAGCCTGTGTCACCCTGGCTTGCTCTGGCTTGGGCTGACTTCAGCACAGCTGAATCTTGGGTAGAGTTGTAGGCAGAAAAGGGGAAGTGATTGTGGTACCGAAATGGAGTCAAGTGTCATCACAGGGAGGAGTGTGTGTGTGTGGGAGGAGGCTTGTAGGAACGAATAGAAGATAATAGTCTATGGAGTAAGAGCTGAAAAAAACCCAAGGCTAAAAATGCAGCCTAGGTAAAAGATGGTGATTTGGATAACTGCAACAGGCAGGTGAAAGGGACTTGGTGAAAAGTGGAAGCACAGCTTGTACAGTGAGTTTGAGATAAGGTGTTGCTCACAGAATGAGAGATGTGGAAAACGGAGGTGGAATAAAAGCAGGAGTAAACTTAAAATAAGTTTGGGACTGTGAATATAGCCAGTGGCTGAGTCCATGGAAGAAACATTCACGAAGA